GTTCAGCATCAGTGAAGCACAACTGAAATAGCCTCCAGCTCTGCTGTCACGTCTTTGGAGGATGCTGCGACTTTGGCAGAGACTCAGAATCAATTCTTTTGAGCAGAATCGATTAGGAAGCTGAAAAATTGAACGTGATGCTGGGATAGGTTTGAGGCGCTCGGACTGCTCGGTGTTGAGACGGCTCAGTCGTGGCGTTCCCGGTGCATGGGCAGGGAGAGGGTTCAATGAAGGGCTGCTTTACTGAAGGAAAATGAGATCTGGTTACCCAAACCAGACAGGAAACAAGCTGCAGATTTCACTGAGAGATTTGAACCCTTTCATTGGGACCCTTCATCTTGGGATGGGTTGGATGGGATTGCCCGAAATCTTTATTTGAGGATATTTCCGTGAGAGATGTTTTAGTTTTACTTCAGAGATAAATCAGTGACGGGATTTTCTTGATGATGCTTCTGGCTTGGGTTATGCCCAGAATCTGAGCCAGTGTTTGTGAGTAGCCACGCCTGGGCTTAGTGATTTCAGCTCCCCGCTTAAAAATGCGAGATGATTTCAGTTGCTGCAAGCTAACTGTCTTCTCTCTCCTTTTGAGGCATCAAGGGTGGTTTCTCCAGTAATTTGAACCTTTTCGAAGCGCCCATTTGCCTAATGCCATGAATATTGCAGTGAACAATGCGGAAGAAAAAGCTGTCCATTCCTGGTCGAGAATTTCCTCCGCGGGCCAGAAAGTGCTGGAGGAAGCCCTCCGAGTCTTCAACCCGATGTCCAAGGACCTTTCGGACACAGAGACCCAGCTGGTGGCCTTTCTCCAGGGTCTGAAGGAGGAGGGCTACCAGCCCACAATCCTGAGGAGTAAAGATGTGTACGGGTACAGCTCGTGCACCGCAGACACACCTGCCCAAACAAAACAGAGCGACCCGCAGGACTGCACCGCCGCCGCAGAGTCCATTAAAAATCCAGCTGGAAGCACCGCAGCCATGGCAAAGGTGTCTGCTGCACCCACCGGCGCTCCCGTGAACTCCTCAAAAGTCTCCTCTCCCATCTCCAAAGGGAATTCCACCAATCTCCTCCTCAGCTCCTTGAAGCAGACCAGGTCCGGCACGTCCAAAGCCACGACAGTGGGCTTCCCCGCAGGCATGTATCCCAACGTGTACCCAGCTGTGAGACTGTCGGTGGTTCTGGAGGCTCTGGTGCCGCTGAAAACTACTGCGTCCTGTTTGGAGTCCAAATACACGCCTGGGCGTCTCTGGATCTCACCCTCAGACCTTAAACTCCTCAAGGCTTCGAGTGCGCCGAGGCAGTTTTCTTCAGACAAGACCGCTAAAATAACAGAAGGTAAGGGGTACAAGCATTTGGTAAAGAAAGCACAGGATTCTTCCGCCCTCGCTTTAAGCCTTCTGAAGGGACCAAAGGGTGGAGTGCTGCAGGAGAGCAATGCTTGCAAAGCATCGGGGGTCCTCAACGGGAGAGTCACAGGCAGCTCGTCCCAGGGCTCCACCGCAGCACCGCAGTGCAAGACCTTGAAAATCAAAGATAAGGAAGCTCTGGTGGGGAAAACAGAGTGGAAGGGCAGCAGCACTTACCAGGAGAGCATTGGGCAGAAGAGGAAAAGAGCTGCAGAGGCAAGAGAAACTCCTCAGAGAAAGGAAGCCAATACCATTCCTGCCCAAAATAAATCTCGATGGGCTCCAAGCACTTTGAACCTACTGAAATTCCGGGCCATCAAGGTGGGCAACTCTTCCTCCGATGATGAAGTGAGGAGGAGAGCACAGAAGATTCTTAGGGTCAACCTGTCCCCTGTGATCCGAATTCAGCCCTTGTCCCACTCTCACAGCGTCCCCTGAGATTCTTCACTTTAACGCTGTTTTTGTTGTAACTAAGTACGAGCCTGGCACCAGAGTGTGAAGTTTAAGAGCGACTCTGTGCCTCTGGTGTCTGGTGCCAGTGTGTGGAGCACCCTGCGGACGGAGCAGCCTCTCGTGGTGCTCTTCCTGCCTGTCCACCCCTGCTATGCAGAACTGTCTGCGGAAACACAGAAACCCCGTTGGGGAGCAGGGGACGGTGACTCTCACCCGCAGGGCTCCCTTCCCGCTGCCGCTTTCACGCGAGGGGAGAACACGAGACTTTCTCGCGACGTTGATGCACTGTGATACTGCTCTTTTTCAAGCTGTACATTTACCGGGTTTATTTTGATCAAATTTTATAACTTTATATATCTATATATCCATATATGTGCGTATGGCCCAGGAACTGGGGGAAGATGCACTTAATCCTTCCCTCTGGGGTTGGGTTTGATAGCTTTTGTTCCCTCTCCCCTTCAGCCAGTCTTTTGTTGCAAGGTGCCAGGATTTCCGTGTGGTTCAGTGTTGTGACAGTCTGTCCTGGGCTCTCCTGAGCAGCTCAGAGGCGGAGTTAAAGCCACTTGTTTGTCTCCAGAAATGCCAAGCAATTTGGAAAATCACCAGCTGGTAAAACGATGATTTTAATCACATTTTCAGTATTACCTCTGCGTCAGAGTGGGGGAGCGTTACGGCGCTGCTGCCTGCGAGTCTGTCTGACGTCTCTAGGTGCCTCCTCCAGCTGTTGGTAGCAGAAGCTCTGAACTCGTGGTAGGATTTGCCTCCGAAGAGCGATTCCTCCTCAGCACCCAGTGTTGCTCCACTCTCCTGTAGCCTGGGTGCAGACGCAGGATGTGAACTGTAACTGGTAGAGCCGAAGGGCTGGAGTTGGTAACAAGAATTGCAAAAAGTGTCCTCCCCACCACGTAACTGCTTTCCTGTTGCTGGATGTTTCAGGAACAGGTTCTTGGTGCTGGTGGAGAAGGCACAGGCTGTGTTTGAATGTATTATTTACATTTTACCAGCCCCAGAGCTCAGCGTGATATTTGAGCCTGAATTAAAAGCAGAAAAGCGGAAGGGTTGAGAGAATATGTGCCAGCACTTAAATGTAGAGAGTTTCTTTCTGTCGGTTTTCGGGGCTGAAGCAGTAGGAGGGGACATCAGCACCGTGTTGTGAGGGGTGGCAGCTTTGCTGTGCTGTCTGGGCTGTAGCCAGGAGGTGTGAAAGCCCTGGAGCTCTGTCTGTCCCCAGGAGGCACTGCGAAGCCGCTGCAGGCGCCTGCCTTGGCCTTCCTGCTCCAGGGCACGGGATGTGACCGCAGGCTGCCTGCGTGGGTCTGCTCTGCAGGGAGGGATCCGCAAGAGGAACTCTTGCCTCGGAGCGGGCTGTGCTGCGGCCGTGGCCAGGGAGGAACGGCTTTGATGGTACGATCTGCGCTGGGATACTGCAAAAGCAGAGGAAGCAGCATGGGGCCAGGCACGGGCCCAGATCTCTGCAGCAGCGGGCCAGTCATCCACTCGATCTCTCACCAGCTCCAAATACTGCTTGTCTGACCTGGTAAATCTCTGTGGATGTTGGCTGAGGGATGAGCTTTCCTGGGAAGCCCCAGCTCCTTATGTTTTGTCCCCTCCCTAGCACCTGGCTGGATCTGTGCTTTGTGAAAGGGTCAGGGTCTGATACCCAGCTCAGAGATGAAAACCATGGCATGTGGAGGAGAGAGGAGGTTCGTGAGGGAGTGCGAGGGCAGGGAAGCTGTGTGTCCCGAGCCGCAGCTGGAGCTCTCCCTGCTCGCCCAGGTAGAGCAGGCGGAGGTTCTCGCTCGGGCAATGGTTGCAGGCTCTGAACCACACACCCACGTTCTGGTTTTTGTTTGTTGGTTTTTTTTCTGGTTTTACTGTGCATGTCTGAGCTGCTGTCAGAGACCAGAGCTTGCAGTGTTTGGGACTGACCTGTGAATGCCGCTGCTTGGCTGCAGAGGAGGACGAAATATTTTCTTCCTCTTCTGGGTTTTAAAATACCCTGGCAGAGAGTTCCCTGTCCTGACATGGTGCTGGATGAACAGGGACCTTCCATCACTGTTAACTGGCCAAAAATTGCTTTGTCCCTTTTGTTCCCACCCCTTCAGACCTTTCTGATTCCCACGCTCCGAAATGCCAGGTCTGGAAGTCTTGCACTGGAGTTTCTCTTTTTGGCTGTGTCCCGAGGAGGGCTCTGTGGTATCGCTGCCTCATGGGCTGCTCTGCAGCTTCCCCTCTTCCCAACCCCTTATAAGGGCACCGAGAGCTTTCGGGAGCCTCTTCGTGAGGCGCAGACATCCCAGCTGAGCGCCTGGCCTCCGCTGAGAAAAACAACCGTCAGCAAGGCTGAATTTGGGTTGAGGTTGCTTTTCCTCCAGCCTGAGCAGGAAGCTGAGCACCTGTGGTCAGCTTACAGAGCCTCAGCCCTCTTCTTCGTTGCGTTTCTTCCCCCAGCTGCGCTGCCGCCTGCCTCCCTGCTCTTTTCTGTCACCTCTTTTGTCTTTCACAGGCTGGGTCTTTGCCAGTTGAGGACTTGGCTTGTGCTGTTGCTTGACACATCCAGCAGAATGTACTGTCTCGGTGCTGCTGAGCCTTTCCCGGCACCCAGCTGAGTTCTGCGAATGCTTGGTGGCAACGGCTCAACCCAGTGTAATTCCCAGGCCACCAGCAAGAGGTCTTCTGCTCCACAGGGAGAGTCCAGCACTGGAAACGCCTCTGTGTCACTGAGGTCCTGGTAGGGAAGCGAGCACCCCAGAGCTCTGTGCTCTGGGACTTGCCAGAGCAGTCCAGTCTCTGTCAGCTCTTCTGCCCCACAGAGCCCCTGAGCTGCCAGGCAGTGCTGGAGCTCAATTCGCTGCCCTCCTGTTGTCTCCTCTCCCGCCCTGCAGCTGATTTGGGAGCTTGGCTGGAAAGGTTGCAGGTTGGTATTCACAGAGGGGCTTTACGGCCCCTGGTGCCAGTGTCAGCGGCTGTTGCCTGTCACCGCTGGCTGCAGCCTGGTGGTGGCCGGCTCTGCCGTCCTTCACCTCACCACTTGGTGCTTTTGACATCCCAAACCTTCGACAGTGACGTGCAGAAGGGCTTTGCTGTGGACAAAGCTGTCTGCTGTTTAGGGAAGGTGAAGGGTTTGATCAAATCAGACCTTCCTAGACCTGGTCTAACCAGGGATCTCCCTCCAGAGGTCTCTCCCACCCCGTGTTACTCTGGCAGGACGCACAGAAATGTGTTGCCTGGAGTGCTGTGGTGTCTGCTGAGAGTGCTCTTTGCAGGTTGTTCAGACCTGTTTCTGTTTTAGTCACTTTGAATTCATCCAAGTGCCTAACCTGGCCTGTGCTGTCCAGGGCACTGTGACAGCTGAGAGTTTTGGAGGCTCTCTTAGGAATGCTTTTACCGCATGGATTCGTGCCACTGTCACTTCTAGAAATGATTCAGCCAGCGGTCAAAGGACTGTTCTTCCAACTGAGTTTGTGGAAATAATTTCTCCTTTTATTCAGCTGCCAAGAAGCGCGACTTTATGCTTTGCCTCCACCAGACAAGGTCCTTGAGCTTCCTGCGTGCTTCAGATGTCCGTCAGCGAGGTCCGTGGGGAAAGCAGCTTGTCCGGCAGGCAGCTGAAGGAGAAGCTGACATCAGATACCAGTTGAAACCACGTTGTTAATTGGTAGAAACATTTTGAAGCTCATGTGCACTGTGATCAGATTTCACCTTTCATTTGGAGAAGTTTCGCCTTGGCCTCTTCCCTGTGAGCCATGGAGTGTGGTGCTGCTGCTTCCAAACTGCTCCTGTTCCCCTGCAGAGCCAGCTGCCATGGCCATCCTTGGACACAATTTCTTAAGCACTTCTCTGCAAAATAAGAAGGGATTATTTTGTTGTTACCCTGTTTTGTAGCCCGCTGGTGGTATTTCAGAGGTGTGCTCTGGGGAGTATTGATAGCTGGATACCTCTCGGACCAGGGCATCACCCACCCAGCCTGCAGCACTCACAGGGCTGGGGGTGGTGGGATGAAACCCCCCTGTTGTCCCCTTGCACAGAGTTGAGCCGATTGCCAGCTCAGGGCATTGCAGGGAAGCTGGGAGCAGAGCAGCACGGGTGGGTGATGCTGCCCCTGTTCTGCCACGTGTCCTCCAGGCCCCATTGCACACCAGCAGCACTTCTCCGCTGGCTCCAGCTGTAGCAGGAGGGCCTCAGGGGGCTTTGGTTTTTAGGTTTGAGCACAGAACTGGGGCCCTTTCAGTTGTGACTTGTGCTGTGTTCATAGCCAGACCTTGCCAGCACATTGGGGAGTGCAGCCCCTCCCCTGTGGGTCCATGTTCCTGCCCCTGTCTGGGAGCTGGGCCTTTGGCCGCAGCACAGGGGATGTGTGGGGACAGAGAGCAGGTTTGTGTGACGGACGGTGTGACGTGAGCTGGTTCAGGTGGGAGGACCCATGTTTTGGCCGTGGTTGGCAGGGTCGGTGCCGAGCTGTGTGGAGCGTCTGCAGCTTGCGCTGGTGGGTTGGTTTAGTGTGGAAGTGACAGTTTCTGTCTGAGTCTTCAAAGTGGCACTGTCCCCTTTGTTCCTGTGGTCAGATGGGGATGATCTTCTGAGAGCTGAGATGGCCTGAGGAGAGGACGACTGTTTTGGGGCACCTGGCACCTTCTCAACAGCTCTGCAGCCCTCGGCTCTGCGAGCTGTGTGGGCTGGCACCATCTGCGGAGGGGGCAGTGGGGCAGGTTGCTCCCAGGCCCTCGCATTTGGGACTCTGAGCTAAAGAGCACCGTGCTCAGGTATCCCTCTCCTTGCAGCCTGCTCCTGCCTGGAGCTGCGTGCTCTTGGGAAGGTGCCAGCTCCGTCAGTGGCCGCTGGAGCAGAGATCTCATCCCAGAAGGCAGGAGAGCTCAGCCTTGTCACTAAGTCAGCCATGAGCATCGAGCAGACCCTCTCTGTAGGTTTGACACCGCTGACACTCACAGCTTGACCTCTGAAGCCATGGTGCTGAGGCCAGACCC